AGAAGTTGATACTACAATTACATGTAATCCAAATATTTTTTTTTAATAATTTAGAACATCATCTCCACTGAAGTTGTTTGTTTGCCATTAATTCTTGTAGAAAGGCGGTGTAGGTAATGGCAAGTATGTAGGCTTTTAGAGTAAACTTCACCAAAGTTTGAATCTTAGCCTACTATGTGGTAATGGTCAAGCAGTTCATCTCTCTGCAGCCCATTATATCAATACTTCCCCCCCTTGCACAATTGTTATGAGGAATGGAGATTATGAATGCCGCATGCCTAACAAGTAAAGCACAGACCAGGTACATGGTACGTAGGCCATAAATAGTCCTGATCATATTATAGCAAACAAATATCCCTGTGTGCCTTCAGAACCAATAGTTTTAAGATGTTTTTTTCATTTTCTGAAAACACTATTCTTTGATATATTAATACAATCATCCCATAAGAAATTTATCTGTATAAGCAAAATGTGTGTGCTCAGTCATGCCCAACTCTTTGTGACCCCATGGACTGTAGCCTGTCAGGCTCCTCTGTCCGTGGAATTTCTCAGGCAAGAATACTGGAGTGAGTTGCCATTTCCTCCTCCAGGAGATCTGGGCCCAGGAATCAAACCCACATAGCTTGTATCTCCTGCATTGACAGGTGGATTCTACCACTGGGGCCACCTGAGAAGCCCCTATAACCAAAATATCTGTTAATAAAAACCTTCCCTTCTCCAAACATGTCAATATCAACCATGTCTTTCATTCCCTACTATGCAAAGTTTTTTTCACTTAATTAAAAAAAAAATCAAGAAACTAGTTTTCCATTTCATTGTTTAAAAAGCAAGAGCCTTGTATTTTTAAGCAGTTGGCTATTTGAACTGATTTTATTTTGCAAAATTCACATGAAAAACATCTGCATTATTGCAGATAAGATGTATAATGATCTCAGTGAGGCTTTTCTGTATTAAAAAATGAAACAATTAAAACATTTGACAAAAAGTACTAACCGCCACCACTTTCTCACAGCCCAGTCTGTGTTCAATGCTGTTTCTTAACAGCAATCAAAAGCCCATGTCCCTAAATTAGTTACTGAGGCCAGAGGACAGTATGAGAACTGGCAATTCTAATAATGTCACAAATAATAATAATAACCACAGTAACCATGCTCTTCAGCTGACTAGCAAAGTAATGGGGAAAGAGGGTGGGAAGAAAGAATGAGCACAGACCACTGAAAGCCTTTTGAATATGGGGTCAGGACTGACGCGATGCACTGTGTTATGTGGGAAGCAGCATGTGTCACCTGCCCTTCCATTGGCTGTTTATCCAACATCAATACAACACTTTAGGAGCCAAATTACTAAACAAGCTGCCAATTAGGCTTGCAGTCAGCTGGATAGATTAGCAGCTAAGAGAGGCCGATACAAGATTTTCATCTCTTGAGCCAATTACGCAAGTGAATTACTATCCACAATACTCTTTGGAAGATTTGAGGGGAAAGGACCGACTCCGCTGTAATAGATATAAGAGATCCAGAATAAAGGGGGCTGGAGCGGGAGCTTGCAGAAGGGTTAGCAGGCTATGTATTGCTAAAATTGCCCGAGCAGGAGGAGAGCCTCCCAGGCAAGGACTTAAAGGATTTAGCACCGCCAGAAGCAAAAGAAAAGGAAATTATGGTTGTCAGATGCTGTGCTGAGACGGAGTTGTTCCACTCCCGTGTCTTAATCTCATAAAAGAAGGATGAGAGACCAACAGTAGAGCTCATGCCAGAGTCATTTTCCATGAAAAATGAAGTATCTGTTTTTTCTTTTTTTAAGTTATATAGAACAGCCCTTGTTTTTTGTTTGTTTCAGAAATCTGTGTTGCTATGGGGAAAGATTTAGCATTTAAGAAATCAAATGGTCTTTCTTTTTGTTTTAACATAATGATAATGCTTCATTTTAATTAAGAGAAATAAACCAGCATTAAAAAAATAGAATGAATTCTTTTCTGCCTGTATAGAAACTAAAGCATGAACTTAATGGTTACCAGAAGAGGAAAGGAATGGGAGAGGGATAAAATAGGAGTTTGGGATGAGCAGATTTGGATGTTCAGTCAAGCTGCTGTATATAAAATAGATAACAAAGCCCTATTGTATAGCACAGGAACTATATTCAGTATCCTGTGATAAAACATAATTGAAAAGAATATAAAAATGTAAATATACTAAATATGTATGTTTAACTGAATCACTTGGCTGTAAACCAGAAACTAACACAACATTGTAAATCAACTGTACATCAATTTAAAATATAAATAAAAAAGCAGGGTGAAGTCGAGTGGCCACTACTGAGCCACCACACTTGAAATGCCAACATTTTAAAACTACAGTCATGAATCAGTTATTTGCTGTTCATTTCAGAACTCAAAACTGACATGCAGTTTTTGCAGAGATGGTTTAAATTGACTTTATATTTTCTCTTAAATATTAAAGTTTAAACTTGAACCTTTGCAATCTCTTGTATCAAAAATATAACAGGTATGTAGCCTGAAGCCTCATTAGACCTCTGATCCATCTTAGCTTATCAGTGGATTAAATTAATTTGTGGTGATCACAGAAAAATTAGGGATATAAGACAAAAAGCTAGTATGCCGTGTAACCTGACACATCTGCAAAGCAGCTGTTCAGAAAAAAATTAGATGCCTTGCTTACCATTATCATAATTTCAAAATAAAAACTTAAAGAAAAACCTTAATTGTCTTTATGTTATTAAACAAGTTTTAACAAAAGGCTTCTCTTTGTTTTGTTTGGTAATTAAGAGGCCTATTTTATATCTTATATGTTTATGTATATTTTTGTATAATTAGATAAATATATAAAATCTCTGTGTATTTTTATTTTGCCTTTGTCAAGCAGTAAATAATGTTAGTCCAGAGTTTTTCTTTGGTGCCAATCTTTGACCATTCAAGCTGCTGGCAATTGAAGGTTTTTTTCTATTACATGTTAAAATACTTGCTTCAGTGAGCTAAAAACCAATCTGACAAGTCCAAAACCAACTCATTATTGTGGTAATCCAGTTCTCACTCCCTATAATGAAGTTAGCAATGACAGCAATGTATTCTGTTCTCAGTCTGAAGATGCTCTGAAGATTAAGAATATCAAAATGTTCAGTAAAGGTCTTGCAAAAATCCATTGATGATTACTCTATAGTTTGTTATAAAACTCACCAGTTTTAGTTATAAACTCAGTTTCAGTTATATAACTCATCTGTATCACTTTGCAATTCCCCTCTGTAAGTTAGAATCCTGAGGAACAACCCATTCACTATTCTCCAGAAAACCAGATACAAATTACCAGATTAAATATACTATTAGTTCAACTCCGACATGTCTTTTATTACTTACTGTTATTTTATGTTTTTACTTTGAAATACATATACCAGAGACTTCCCAAGTGGCTCAGTGGTGAAGAATCCACCTGCCAATGCAGGAGACTCCGAAGACACAGGTTCAATCCCTGGGTTGGGAAGATCCCCTGCAGGAGGAAATGGCAACCTTGATAAAGAATCGGCCTGCAGTGCGGGAGACCTAGGTTCGATCCTTAGGTTGGGAAGACCCCCTGGGGAAGGGAAAAGCTACCTACTTCAGTATTCTGGCCTGGAAAATTGCATGGACTGTATAGTCCATGGGGTTGCAAAGAGCTGGACACAACTGAGCGACTTTCACTTTACAGTTTTCTTTCCTGGAAAGTCCCATGGACAGAGGAGCCTGGCAGGCTACAGTGCATCGGGTCACAAAGAGTCGGATATGACTTAGCAACTGAGCAGCACATATACAGAGAATGGAATGAAATGTGTAGGTAGAGTTTTAGAGAACAATAATAAATTGGTCACTACCATATCAAGAAACAGAACACTATACACTGTGGTCCCATAGGTAATATTTTTGTTATCGTTATTGGCGCTTAAAAGGATCCTTATATACAGTCTTAGAGAAAGAGGAGGATGGAGAATCCCTATTTGGGGGCTAGAGGTGGGGTAGAAGGTGCTGTTAGAAACCCAGATCAGGGAGGAAAGATGGACGATGATGGGAAAGGGGTTAAGGGCACAAGAGAGACAGCTGACTCTCAAGCCTTTGACAGCAGTGAGTGATGTTGTCAGCACCTGCGCATTTCAACTCTCAGACCGTCTCGGAAAACACAGCCCTCATTTCAGAACAGAAACATGCTGGACCCAGGACAGAGCTTGTATGCCACAGGCATCCTGCAGACCTTCGGAAAGTGAGCCAACTTCATCCCTGGAACCCTAGGGATGGAATTATGGGCAAACACTATAGCCCAGAGTTCTACAACAGACTTTCAAGGAAGCCCCAATATAGGAGACGGTACTGAATATGTTCTCCCTAAAACCAAGATGGTTTTAAGCTGTTGTTTAATCCCTAAGTCGTGTCCAACACTTTTGCGACCCCTCGGACAGTAGCCCTCCATGCACCGCTGTCCATGGAACTTTCCAGACAAGAAAACTGGGGCAGGTTGCCATTTCCTTCTCCAGGGGGTCTTCCCGACCCAGGGATCAAACCTGCGTCCTCTGCACTGGCAGGCGGATTCTTTACCACTGAGCCACCAAGGAGTCTGTACTTTTTGACCCCTGTTCTTCCTACACAGTCTGTCACATTAGCTTGCTTGATGATCACTCCCTTAATTATCAAGGAAGAATAACCACAAGAAATGATCTGGTAATTTGAGTTTTGATTGCTTTGTATTATGCCTGTTTTACAGATCAGAAAACAGAAACCCAAAGAGGTTAAATAACCTAATCAGCTACTAAGTGGAAGAGCTGAAACTAACCGCGGTCTTTGTCCATTGAGCCTTCTACTACAACAAGCTCTTTATCCAAAGATGAAGAAAGAACCCTCCCCAGTACTTTGCTGAAAGGAAAACTTGAAAGAATGTGCTTTTCTTAGCCTAAGAGGGCCTTCATCTGTGTTCATACTAATGTGGGATTTTGTTTTTTTTATTTCTGTCATTTTCTAATTCCAGGATTTGTAGGAGAAAACGCCCAGCCAATCCTAGAAAACAATATTGGAAACCGAATGCTCCAGAATATGGGCTGGACACCTGGGACAGGCCTCGGACGAGACGGCAAGGGGATCGCTGAGCCGATTCCAGCCCTGCAGAGACCAAAAGGATTAGGACTTGGGTTTCCTCTACCAAAAAGCACCCCTGCAACCACTGCCTCCAATTCAGGAAAATCCGCCTAAGAGGAAAAGCAGAGGAGCCGTTTAACAAGTTTTATTCGCTCGCTATAGCCCATTGTTCTAAAATGACAACATAGCTTCTGTGGTTGAAGCTGAAATCGAACATCAAAGCCTCAGACTTGCCCCTCTAGCTTCCTAGCTGCTACAGTTCTGCCAGAGTGATAGAAATGGGATTTCATCACAGTTCATGGTGCTAAAGTAAAAACCTTCACCTTTTAAAATTTTTCAGTGACTCGCATTCTAGTTGTAAAGAACAGCTCGTTTCTCTTATTTATTTTGATCTTGTGTTGTCAGTGATTTCTCATGTTTTAGCTTGATTCATTCCTGTGTGCGCTCGATGCCCCAGCGACCGGGCACGCCTCCGTGTTTCTAAAATAGGATTGGCCGGAAAGGGTTATGTTTCACCTCATCCCTGTCTGTCCTAACCGAAAACACCTGTCATCACATCAGTGAAGTCCTAAGCACATCTTTTTTTGAAAGGCTGGCCAATTTCGTATGCCTTGAATTTGACTTTTTTGTTAGGATTCCTCAACAGGGTGACACCCATTCATCTTCTATCCTTGGACACTGTAGTATGAAGTTCACAGCTGACAAACAGCAATTAATGTTGCCCTCTGACATGTCGACAAAAATAAACCTCATCATTGTGATCACCACAGTGCCCTCAACATGACTTTACTGCAGATCTTATCAATTTTACCTCATTTAGAACATAAAATAATTATGGAAAGAAAAATGTATTTTTTAAATTCACCATGACTAAGTTGTAAGCTCTATTAATAATCTAGACTTCCTTCTACCTCTTTGTTCCCAAAGGTTGATATTTTTTTTAAGATCAACTCAACTGTAGTAAACTGATTTTAAATTTTAACCATTGGAGTAAGTTAGAATATCGACTCAATTTATTTGAAGATTTTAATGGCTCTCCCAAGAATTCAGATTACTGGCAACGATCCAGCCCGTTTACAAGGTGTACAAAAAAAATAAACGGTACTGTTTGCCCTTTCTAACACCTAAGCAGTTACTTTAAAATCAAGCAAAACAAGTCATTTTTATTATGTGCCTAGTATTGTTACATCTGAATCCTCTGCTTCATAATGTCCAGGATTCTGAATTGCTGTTAGTTTAGATGTTGGTTTGTTATTGTCTTCATTAGTAAGAACTAATAGTGATATTCTCTTTTGTAATGACCTTTACTGGTTGAGTGAAGGCCAAGATAACACATGTGAATCAACCTTCTAATGTTTTTTAAGCTTTGTTTTTCTAGGGCAGTTTTAGATTCACAGCAAAATTAAGGGAAAGCTACAGAGATTTCTCAAATGTCCCCTCCCCACACACATGCATAGCTTCCCCCATTATCAACATCCTCCCCCCACCCCAGAGTGGTATATTTGTTACAGTTGTCAAGCCTACATTGACACATCAAAATCACCCAAACTCCACAGTTTATATCACAGTCCACTCTTGGTGTGGAACATTCTATGGGCGTGGACTAATGTATAATGACATGTCTGCCCCATTATAGGATCGCACAGAGTAATTTTACTGTGATAAAATTCCTCTTGGCTCCTCTCTAACAGGCTTTTGGGAATTTGACAGTCCCCAAGAGTCTTTCACAGTGGGGAAAGGAGGTTTGTGCATGTAATAGACCGGTCCCACGTGGTCCTCTAAAGAAAATACTGCTCTTTAGGGAGAGGAAGTTCAGCATGCTATTTGAAAGGCTTAATGGTTTGCCAACTTACAGGTTCCTTTTCAGAATTATCTTCCTTTCTAGGGTTATCATGGTAAGAGGACAAGTTGGCCAGGAAACCATAGGCTACCAGGGAGTTGCTTTTCTCATGCCCTTCTTAGCCTACCAGGTGAGCATTCTCATTGGATAAAGTAACTTGTTTGACGCTTTCCTAAATGTCTGTTATTGAAAATTCACCATTTTTTTAAAAATACTTTTTATTGAATACTCATTCCATCTACATAAGATGCAAAAAGCTGGGGGAGATTGTCTATATTTCAGTTTAAAACTTCGTTATGGTAGCGTATAGCACTCTAAGGTCTGTTCATAAGTTTGTTTTGGTTCCATTGCCTGAAGATCTTTTAAAATCCTAGAATTTTGCAAAGCCAAATTTGAAGCCACAGGTAAAACACAGTGAGGTTTTTGTGAGACTGACTGATCCCAAATTCCCATGGACTTGACCATTCTTTTTCACTTCACCATGGTCAAACTCTCACAGTGAGGAAGAGCAGACTTTACACGAGCTGGCACGGGAGAACTCCTTAGCTAAATGTTGCAGCTTTATCAATATTGTTTCTTGTTCTCCTGGATGGGCATCAATTTTCTGAAGAAACTTTCTAAGATATCACTGAGCTCAGGTGTTCTCTAACTCCACCTCCCAAAATAATTCATCTTTATATTTTCCCCTAAGAGAAGAAAGGTCTCAATATTGACATCTTGAGCCCTGTCTGTGACTCACAGATTTCAAACATGGCTTATTCTATTGGAGTATTTACGGAACATGTGAATCAATACTCAAAGCAGAGAAGTGGTGACTTCCCAAGCGTTCCCCTGCTCTCACACAGACCTCCTTCACTTTTCAGTGAGATCTAAGAATGATCATTGCACACCTGAAGTTCTGCTTGGACCTGAACTTAATCAGAGAAAAGAACACAATTGAAAAATGGAATTTTTAATGTACGTCAAATATCTTTAAGATATGAAGTTCACTAATTTACGTTTGTTGTAAAGTTAATTTTTATCAGTTCCTATGCCTATAGAACCCAAAGCATCCAAAAGAATTCATGTTTTAGAATGTATCAATCATATCTCCGTAAAAAGGCAGTTAGATTCTTCTCTTGTCCTTCATAAAGCCAACACTTCTATAGTATCTAAGCCTCATATCAAATTAATTGCTTGTACTAAAACTTTTAGAGAATGCATAAGTCTCTTTCATTACTATCCAAATTATCTATTCCCCAGCAAGTAGCCAAGAGACTGAGTGTGGCTACATTAGCAATTCAACATTTTGCCTTTATATACTTGTTATACTTGATATTAACCAGATTGTATGCTGGTGTCATTTACTTCCTCCCATCTTTCTCCCCAAATACAATTTTTAAGGCAATGTTATCCCCCTCAAATTTCTTTGCTTTTATTTTTTAATTATATGGTCTCCTTTAAAAGAAAATCCACTGTTAACTAACATTTACCAGTTAATTGGTATCAGCATTTGAAAACAGATTTTATAACTCATACTGTTACTATCAAACAGAAGTTAAGACAGTAGGGTTAAAGATATGCCTAATGTATACATATAGGTATGTTTACAGGGCATGACTGTGCAATTTACAGACATGATTGCAAAATAATTGCATCTTATTAATATCTTAGCATTGTGAATTGATATTCTTGCAGTTAATTGAACTGACAATTGCTTCTCTTCAATATGTTTTCATTTTGAGCAGATATTTCATGAAAGAGAAAAATCACTGCTGACATGCTTTTTAAAACCATTTCCTCCTGTCCTCTGTTTTTCTTTAAAAAAAAAAAAAAAGCGACCTAAATGGTATTGTAAAATGAAGTTGTTTAGCAAAGAATATTTTGAATTTTTTTTCTTTTAGTAGAAAGATATAATAATAGTACAACAAAGAATGAAAGAATAAACATAATGTTTAAGAATGTTATTTATAAGCAGTCATTGTCTTTGTGCTTTAAATGTTTCCCTCTTGAAATAATAAAAAATAAAGTTGAAAGGACTTTAATTTTTTTTTTTTAATTACTGAAAGTCACTCAGTCGTGTCTGACTCTTTGTGACGCCATGGACTGGGCAGTCCATGAAATTCTCCAGGGCAGAATACTGGAGTGGGTAACCATTCTCTTCTGGGGATCTTCCCAGCCCAGGGATCAAACCCAGGTCTCCTGCATTGCAGGCAGATGCTTTACCAGCTGAGCTACCAGGGAAGCCCAAGAATACTAGAGTGGGTAGTCTATCCCTTCTGTAGTGGATCTTCCCGACCCAGGAATCAAACCAGGGTCTCCTGCATGGCAGGCTGATTCTTTACCAACCAAGCTACCAGGGAAGCCCTGCTAATTACTACCCATTGACAATTAACATTGAACAGTGCCATTAAGTGTTAGTTGCTCAGTCATGTCCAACTCTTATTTACCCCATGAACTGTCGCCCACCAAGCTCCTCTGTCTATGGAATTCTCCAGGCAAGAAAACTGGAGTTCCCATTTCCTTCTTCAGAGGATCTTCCCAGCCTCGGGATCGAACTCAACTCTCCTACATCACAAGCAGATTCTTTCCTGTCTAAGCCACCAGGGAAGCCCCCAATTCATTACTCATGTTTCAGTCCTAGAAAATGTCAACATTTTCTAAAGAAATTTTAGGGGACAAAATTGGTAAACATATTTGATTTCATTTATTCACAGCTGATTGTGACCTGTTATACCACATTTCCCTGGTTTTGTTTTCTCTGATGCTGGGCTAGACTAACTGTCTTAAGGTCTTTTTCCACCCAAAGATTCTGATTCTAAAGGAACAAGTGCAAGTTATCTCTCTGATAACCTGAAATACAGATCAGAACCATATGTGTTACTCCGTTTCCTTCTGGGAAATTGTGCTTCTCAGAAACCTGCTTGGATATTTTAAATATTTTATAATACTCATTAAAGTGTTGAGTTCCATTGCTTATAGGAAGCATCTCATTATGTTAATAAAATACTCTCTTTTCTCCCCCAAAAAACTGAACTGTGATTTGAGTAAGTGGATTTTTTTTTTTTATCCAATAGGTATTAAATACTCATTTATTTAACAGGCTTGCAGTAATATATACTCAACTGACAAGTGGACCATGAAGGCTCCTTCTGCTGGGTTCCTACTACTAGGCAAAGACTCATTACTTTACCCACCTGACATTTTAAGTAGATCCAGATTTGTCTCTAGCGAGTCAGTGCCATTAACTGCCAGGAGTGTGATCTACTATTGCCACTTTCGGTTTTATCTGTACATTAGAGTTGTCTTCTGTCTTTGAATTGTCATGGAGTTTAAATCATTCTCAGATTCACCGACCTCACTCCTGTTGCAGTGTCAGAATGTCCCGTGTTTACTCCTTCGTCTTTGAAGGATGAAGTTAGGCAACAATTGAAGGCTATTTTTGTGTTTTAGTTGTTTTTCTTTTTCCCTTAGTTTAAATATTCAAGATACATTAATAGCATTTTAAATCGGTGTATAATTCTTGATCTTTCAGCTATAAAATGGTAAAGACAAGCCTGTATTATGATAGCATCCCAAGCAAAAAGAACACTCAGACCTTTTTTCTACCTGTTTTCATCTTCTGATTAAATTTCAAGGAAATGTTTATTCCTTCCTAAAGGTAGCATTCTATAATAAGATGAGATATAGTATACTAGCTCATTACATACTTAAAAAAGATGCTTTCCAAAAAGCAAACCAATTCTTACTTAGTGAAGGAAATTTCTTCAAATGCCAGAATTTCATAGTTAGGATGAGCAGATGAGTTTCAGGGGGAGAAATTAAGGCTTCATTAGATAACTGTGTGGCTAATCTAAGTCTAAAGTTCTTTCTGATGGCTATAATTGATTGTGGAAACTACAGATAATCCATGCTGCAGGTAGGGGGAATGGAATTCACAAAACAATTTTTAAGGGAACGTGAATTACTTGGCAGAACACACTGAGATTGTGAAACGTCAAGTTCGAAACCACAGTATTTCTAAAACAATGATCATGGTGTCTTTAGGCTTTCAAGAGTCAGCCAGGTGGTCCAGAAACTGAAGGCCTGGTTCTTGACCCTCCCCCATCTTTACACTCGTTTCCTTTTGTCACATCACTCCTGATTCCTTTCCACACATCTTCATCTCCTTCACCGAAGTTTAACATCACAGGACAGCCTTGCAAAATGGAAACCATCGCAAGCACACAGGAAACCTGCCTGATTTGACTCCCGTCCCATTGTGTTTCTCCATTATGTCCCTTAACAACTCAGCTAGAAACAAGCGGCAGATTTTTTCCCCACTCACTGAGTAATTGTCTGTGCCGCAGTGACAGATGTGCAATATAGCAGCTTCTTTAGGAAAAAATTAACAGTTTGTCCAGCATGTCAGCTCGCTCTTTTTAGTGCTTGGGAGGTCTTGGCCCCATTATGGATGATTTAGAAATTGAGGCAAGCAAAAACCAGCTGCCTGCGCTGAAAGCCTTCGTTAGTCGCCCTCATCTGCATTCCAAGACTCACTCACATCTAGAAATTGGTGGAGCCCCTCCGGCCAGGCGATGAGGATGCGCTGACAATGCCTTGATTTGTTGAGAGAGAGAATAAATGGGTTTTTCAGAAGATGAGGAAATATCACCATTACTGGCCAATTTACAGCATTTTATCTGTTCTTCAAACATGTCACTTTTGTTATTGTTGCATGGTAATTACATAGTGAAACGGAAAGAAAACAAATTCAGGTTACGTATTCAGATGGATTGCAAAATCATATAATCCTGATAAATGCCCATTTATGATACACATGGATGAAAGGTTCATTTTAATTTTGAATGGCTAGCTCAGCCATAAATAGGATATAGGATTAAATTCCAGAGAATCTGATTACATAAAAGCAAATAGTCTTTTCACTTTTTTCAGATCCAGGAAATTCAGGGAGATATAGCATGGTATATTCACAAACAGGATTGTCCTCAGACAAGACAAAAAGTAAATTCAGACTTGCATTCTGAAAAGGATGAGAATTTTCCATGAAGCTGGAGAGCTATCTTGTTCTAGTGATGAGTCAGTCCTAAAGGCTTCTCAAGAGGCAAGGGAACCTAGGCTGAAATAGTTCCAGTTTGGAGGAACAGCCCTACATTTTAATCTCTACTTTCCTGATCACTTCTGCATTCTCACCAAACATTGGGATACTAGAAATCCAATGATTTTTTCTTGTGTTCCTCTTTCTGAGGCTATTTCTCCTTCATCCTCAGAATTCTCCAATGCATAAAAGTGAAAAGTGAAAGTGAAGTCGTTTCAGTCATGTCTGACTCTTCATGACCCCGTGGACTGCAGCCTACCAGGCTCCTCCATCCATGGGATTTTCCAGGCAAGACTACTGGAGTGGGGTGCCATTGCCTTCTCCAAAGCCACCTGGGAAACCCTCAAATAAATAAGTACTTAACATCTATTGGCTCCTAAGTTTGCTGCGGCTGGGATAGAGGGATAAAAGAGGCACACCAGTACTTAATTGCCTTGGCCCCGGGGTGACAAGTGTTACCTGTATTCAGGATTCATTGGCCAGAACTGGTCACACAGGCCCAGCTGATTTCCAGGGAAGCTGCTGGAAGTAGGGGAGCATGCAGATGTCTGAGAGCATTAGTTGTGCCATAATTATACTATTTCTACATAGTTTCCATATAGCATGGCCAGACCGTTAAATACCTAAGTAACATCTATTTCATTCAGTCTAGGATGCCATCAAGTTTAAGATGCACCTTAATTTTATGTATCATTACAAAGAAAGAGTAGGAAAAGGCAACCCACTCCAGTATTCTTGCCTGGAAATCTACATGGATGGAGAAGCCTGGCGGGCTACAGCCCATGGGGTCACAAAGAGTGGGGCACAACTGAGCATGCATGCAAGAAAGAAGGAAAGAACACAAACTACAATCCTCTAACCCCAGCAAGGTGCCTCCACTCCAATTTCAGGACTACTGAAATGTGAGAAAATGATCAAATATGTTCATGAGTATCGAATGAAGGTGAAGATAAAAAAAAAAATCTGAGGAATGCCAGGGAAAGCTGCATGAATGAACAGATGGGATTGGAGTTGCTCCTTGAAGAAAGATAGGGTTCAGCTAGAAACAAGGAGGGTTCATTTTTACCCAGAGGTGCTTCTGTTATGTTGACATGATGTAACATAAATGGCTCAGGCACTGGAATTATTCCAAACTATATTCAACGCCCAGCCCTGATGCCTTCTCAGGGCTTCCCTGGTGGCTCAGCGGGGAAGGCTTTGCCTGCAAAGAAGGAGACGCAGGTTCGATCCCTGGGTCAGGAAGATCCCCTGGAGAAGGAAGTGGGAGCCAACTCCAAGGTGCCTCCACTCCAATTTCAGGACTACTGAAATGTGAGAAAATGATCAAATATGTTCATGAGTATCGAATGAAGGTGAAGATAAAAAAAAAAAAATCTGAGGAATGCCAGAGAAGGCTGCATGAATGAACAGATGGGATTGGAGCTGCTCCTTGAAGAAAGATAGGGTTCAGCTAGAAACAAGGAGGGTTCATTTTTACCCAGAGGTGCTTCTGTTATGTTGACATGATGTAGCATAAATGGCTCAGGCACTGGAATTATTCCAAACTATATTCAATGCCCAGCCCTGATGCTTTCTCTGGGTTTCCCTGGTGGCTCAGCGGGGAAGGCTTCGTCTGCAAAGAAGGAGACGCAGGTTCAATCCCTGGGTCAGGAAGATCCCCTGGAGAAGGAAGTGGCAGCCAACTCCAGCATTCTTGCCTGGGAAATCCCATGGATAGAGGAGCCTGGCAGGCTGCAGTCCATGGGAACACAAGAGTCAGATACAACTTGGTGACTAAAGAACAACAATGCCTTCTGTATGTTTTGAGACTAATCTCACAAGTTTCACATTTTTGTCTTTATTTTATTTTACTGAAGTTAGAAATAATATCTACCTCATTGGATTATGAGGGTGAAATGTAATAATGCACAGAAAATATCCTATCTTTCTCTAGCACATAGGAGATGC